CTTACATGCTAGTTATGTGGTCGGAGTGCCGGCCACACGGTCATAACTATAAATAAACAATTTGTACCCTGCTCCATCCAATCACGCACATAACAAAACCTTCAACTTCCCACACAGAAGGAAAGCAAAAAAAGCAGCCTGGTGAGGGCCCAGGACGCGGCACGAGCTGGAAGTCGTAGTCCGACACTGAGCCAGCCCGGTCGCCCAGACCAGTCATGACATGAGAGTGCATATTTGAGACGGCCATCCTCCACCTGGCACAGCACTCCCTCAAGGGCCCAGCGTGTCTCGAAGGTGGGCATGGCCCGCTGGAGCACAGCGTGCTCAAACTCCAGTGAGAGGCAAGCCTGCACCGCGAGGCGGAAAAGCCGCAGGGCATCATCTGAGCCGGCCCCGGCAAGCCGGTTTCAGCAGCTCTTGAGGACGGCCACCTTGACCTGACCCAGTAAGATGTTGGCCAGGCAGACGGGGTCCTTCTCAGCTGCCCAATATGGGTAGGAGCACACGTAGGTGGTCTCTGAGAAGCTCCTGCCCAGTGCTCGCAGCAGTGGCTCGAGAGTGACAAAGAGTGGCCGCAGGCGGGGACAGTCAAGGAAGGCATGAAAGAGGGTCTCCTCAACACCCCCTGGGCAAAGAAAGAGGGGAAGAAGGACAGAAAGCAAGCAAGCATGCTTCAGTTAGCAGTATCAGACTAGTGTGTGACATGTAAAAAGCTGTTGCCAGAAGCTGTAGGGAAAGGGCCTTTGTAAAATTACCACTCTGTATTTTTGTGATGCTGCTGAAGAAGTGGGAGTGTCCTGCTGCAGCTTCTCCAACACCATCCTGAAAGCCTGATAGGGAGAGGCTTTTTGAACCATGGGTGTAATTACAGGGGGGATATGTACAATCCTGGCCCTGGGCTCTTTGTGGTGTGATTATACTTCTGCTATCTTTTCCCTGTATAATTTTGAAGTTTTCTTTTTAAATGCAAAGTGCAGAAGACATCCCTGCTCACTGAGGACTGATGGAAAGATACATTCCTTCACATTTCCAGCTACAGCAGCAGCAGAGGAGACAGCAACATCTTTTTTTACTCCAAAAACCATACAGATCTGCCCTGTGCTGTTTTTGTGTCCCCATGCTTCCCGTGCACCTGCTGGAACCAGAGCTGCTCCCTCTGGACCACCACAAGCATCTTCCCTGACTATGAGTGGCAGGAGGTGTTTAACTTACCCCTACAAGCTCATCCAGCTCTTCCTTTATTGTCTGATGTCTCTAACATACATTTTCCTATAAGATTTTGGGACTTACACTTTTCTGCACACACACTTACAATTTTCTGTAGCTAAAGGCATACCATTTCCTGTAAGTTCATTAGTTTTGGTTCATCAGCTGGGCAGAGAAAAAAGTGCATAACAGAACAGCAATGACTTGCAAGAGACTTGGGGAAAGAACACAGAGCAGGTGACAGGGGAGACCTTCAGAAATGCGGTGTGAGGGTAATGTTTTAAGTGACATGAGTTTATACATCATGATTTGAAGGACAGGGAGAAGGGAGGATGTCAAAGCAAGAAGGAAGAGTTAAGGAGAAAGCAGGACAGAGATGAAAGATGCCAGCTTTGGGGGAAAGGCAGTGCCTAGGGCAGGGAGGGGAGTGACATGTAATGGGAAGGATATGAGACTCGGGAGCTGAGAAAAGGGAGGACATTTGTGGTGAGGGAGGAGACAGATAGCAGGGGAGTGACTGGCAATATTACAGGGTGGAAAGAAGAACAAGAAACTTTAGGGTGGAAAACAGTGAAGAAAACTGGAGGACTATTTCAGCTGAAGCACTGAGAAAAGGAAGAGGAGAGCCTGCCAATAAGCCACTGGCTATTCTTGGGAAAGCCAAGCTGAAGCTAGTCAGAGGAACCCCAAGGAAGTCAAAGGAAGAACAGAAGTAACCAGGTAATTAGAGCTCATCAGAGAGTTTCAGTGCCTGTGAAAACACACAGGAGAGTGGAAACCAAATTCCAGAAACATTTTTTGTCTTCTTTTTCTCCCCCCGGCTAGTTTTGCAGGTCAGGGATGAGAAACCTCGCAAGGAAGGGGGAAGGAATAATTGTTCTGGGCTCCTGTACAGGCAGGAAACAGATTTGTTCCCTCTAGTCCTTCTCAGGCTCCTATTCTGGCTGTTCACCACCATCATCTAGAAGCAGTGACGTGGCTCAGGTGCACCGTACCTGTTGCCTTAGACTCAGGAAAAGCTGGAGCCTGGAGAAGGTTGTAGCCATGGAACTGGACCTAAAGAAACAGAGATACGTATTCTTCTAGCCAGCAAACATCTTGTCCAAAGTCCATCAATGTCACCAGAAACATCCCCATTACCTTGAATGGGCTTTAGGTCAGCTTCTAAGTAAAAACCTTCTCTGGGTAGTTCCCATTTGATTCTGCATTTCTGCCACTGTATTTTACATCAGTAGCTATGAGAATACCAGGTCTGAAAACTTAGTAATTATATTGGACACCCAAGCTATCACCAATGCATTCGCAGGATTAGTTAGGATTAGTTTGTGTTTGCAGAGGGCTCTGGAGATAATTAAACCTGTTTTCCTGGATTGTCAGTATGTGCCTGTTACATTACCTCTGAGCTCAGGGCTATTGTAGTGGGTAAAGGGATCACTACAATGATTTCTCAACCCTGGTTATTTCTGTGAAGCAGAAAGGGGGCTGGGGAGGAATGGGTGTGTCATCTTTGACCCCAGTTCTTCTCACACCATATCTCCTGAGGCAGCTTCACCACTAGGGCTGTTGAAAGGTCTCTGCAACTTGCTTTTTTAGTCTGTGGCTGATGAAAGATCAACGGACTCTTAAAGGACTGGGCAGCCCAGGTTGCTATAGGGTTGCTACAGCAACTTGAGTTCTCTGTGAATAAGAAGCTAACTTAGCAGGCTCTTCTGTGACTCTTTAGATCCTGCCGGCAGTGGTATTGACAGCATCTCTTCCTCAATACAGGTATGTTCCCATATTCATGAGCTAAATGCAGTTTCAGAGCACGCCACTTGTCAGCGTAACCTCTCCTCTTGAGCTGAGCTGTCACTAGACTCTGTCACCAGTAAAATGCAGGGGCTTTTTTAGTATTACAATATGCAAGGGAAAAAGGTTATTTAGCTCATTTCTTTTCTGTTTGCACTTCTATTACCTGTGTATTTGCTTAAGGAAAGGTTTAGGCAACAAAGAGTATTTTCATATAGTTTTAATCAAATGACTTCAGACATGTTAATATGTAACATCTTACTATTTTTAATATTTACTACAATTATTACCACACACACAGTGCACACACACACACACAGTGCACACACACACACTTATTATACACATACAAACATAGACATGTACACATGTGCATGCATATATGCACATTTTGCAGTGTCAGAATTCATTATGTATATGTGTATATATGTGTTTTTGAGTGTGTATATGTATACAGTCACACATGCATATAGTACTTTTCACCACTATTATCGATTGCTTTTATTCTGCAAAAGAAACACAGGGTGGCAGCAACAGTAAAGTTTATACATGGGCATAGGTAACACACATTTTACTTCCGTGCATTTGTTTATATGTGTGCATATATACAAATAAAGTGACTATGATATCCAGCAAAATGTTATAGGTCAAGATTATTTCTTACATAAATTATTTTAATTATATCTTATAATTAAATAATTATCCTATTTGATAAAGGTTTTTATGTAACATAAAGTAGCATTGGATTCAGAGTTCTTGAGTTAAACCCAAGACATAGTAAGCACCTTTAAAATAACATGGTCAGATTTCTAAACAATACAGTTGTACTCCTATGGCTCTTTAATTCACTGTTATTGATGTTAACGCGGATTCCTTTTGGAGAATAAAATAAATTCTTAGTAAATCAACAGGTTTTCATTATCTCGTTTGCTTTAACTTTTACTATTAAGATAAATATTTATTTTTGTGATCTGTGAACATATAAACATAAATGATTGCAGGACAAATATAAAATATGTGCTTTCTTTAGTTCTTTTGCTAAATTCCTTCAGCAAGACTTGTGAAACACTTTTATCAGGTATAATGCTAAGAAAATAGTCAGTGATGTAAGTTTTCCTCAGTTGTATTATGTCCTGGAACAACTCAAAGTCTAACTGATAATTTTGATACAGAACTATGTCAATGGCTTAATCTAAAGAAATAGGGTCAGTTGCTCAATTTATGTAAATATGTATAATACATATTTACCCATGCAGAGCTACTCTGATTTACACCAACTAAAGATCCGACATGTATTTTTCACAAAAATACATAAATCTCCATGAGGTTACACATGTATTAGCCCCTCTGCTCTATCCCAGCATGGAGCCATCATTGACAGTTTATATCTTCGTGGCCTGACTTGGCTAGTTTGAAATGTCTTTTAGTAATACTGCATATTCTAGTCATTCTGCACACACTGCTCATAATCTGTTCTATACCCTTTGAGGCTTCAGCTGCAGCCAGGAGTGTGTCTCATATAAAAACTGTGATTGTACTTTGAGTTTTCTTCCCTCTGGTGATTTGAGTGTTTGCATTTCATTTGTCAAAGCAAAACATCTTATCAAGTGAAAAACAAACCTGAGGTTTCCTTTTTCTATGTGTGTGTATGTGTGTGGGCATGTGTATGCCAAGTAGAGATGGGGAAAAAATCCTTTGCATAATAAATGTCTTTAAGCTGTAGGCCATTGGGCAGTCTTGAGGGCCAAGATCATAATATCTTTGAATGGGAAGGGAAGTAGAAAGGAGGAAACTAAATGGAAATCCTGTTACAGTTTTTACTGGAGTCATGTAAATACAATGTTTTCAGCTAAAAAGATCAGAGATCTGCAGGAGACCTCTTCCTCCATGCTAACCTTAAAACATCCCTGGTTTTCGGATAGTGTGATTTCATAGTTCCACATAGCTGATGTTTTTTCTAACATTTCTCTGAGAAGGAAAGGGCCTTGGTATACTTAAGCTTTTTATGTGGTTTTCTGCAATCTTTTCCTATAGTCAGTGAATGTCCTGCCAAGACAGCCCCGTGTCCATACCTGACTCCACCTTACTCACAGAAATGTGTCCTTAACAAGGGGACTATGCCACCTGTAGTAGACACATTATGTTGTAGAAGTGGCTGACCTTTCCACATTGTAGGAAGCAGTGACTTCATACAGAAATTACCCTTTCTGTAAGCAATCCTGGCAAGACACTCCTGAATAGGGTGTAAAATATTGGTTTGAAGCTGCTCCTAGAATTTGATAACAAAGTCTTGGGGACAGTACTCTGGGACTGTAGCCAGGGCTTTCTTAGAGTTTTCTCCATTTCTTCTTTTTCTTAGCTCAGAGCTGTGTGTCCTACAATCAATAAAAAAGAGCATAGAAACAGGCTTTCTGGACTGAGATTTGTCCGGGGAAAGATTCTAGGGTGAAATTCCCCTACTCGTTTTGCCAATGAAGTACTTAACACATTGCCATAGACTTTCCAGCTTTAGCTCTTTATTCCCTGGGATAAATTTATTACAAGACAATGCTTTACATTGTGCTGTAGTCAGGCTGCACTGATCCAAAGATATTTTGAAATATTGTACAAAAGAGGAGCATGTACTAAAAATCAGAAGGGATTACAAACTTCAATACTTCTCAGAAATGGAGAGATTAAATACTGGAGTCTCTAGTGGTTCATAAAGGCTAGGGACAGACATTACTTATAAACCAATTTAAGTGATCAGAAACTGGTTTAAACCTGTAACACAACAGAAGTTCACTGCACATAAACCAGTTTCAAAATGGCTGAAACTGGTTTAAGATAAATCTGGTTGAATGTAGTATCAAACTTAACTGATTTGGGTCGAACCATTTTATGCATGTCTGTCCCAGACCCCTTCCTGGTTTAAGTTAAACCAGAGTCCCCCAGCATCTCAGGTGTTTTGCATCCCTGGGCTGGGCTGGGCTGGGCTGGGCTGGGCTGGGCTAGGCTAGGCTGTGCTGTCTGCTCCAGTGCAGCAGGGTTGGCTCCACCCCTATCCTTCCTAGGCAGAGCACTATCACTGCTCTGGCTGGCTGAGGGATTGCAATGCTTGGCAGGTTTCCCCCACTCCATCCCCTTGGGCTGCTCAAGAAGGGATCCTCTCCCTCACCCCTCTCCCAGGGCAGGGACTCAGCACCTGGTCATGCCTGCTCCCTCCCCCCATGCTTGCTACTTCTGAGAGGCATCTGTGTAGGTCTCCAATTTCACTGGAAAAAAAGGTGGACAGTTAGTGGGTTGTAAATGCAAATGTACCCTGAAGATAGAAAGAGCTTGAAACAGTTGAGAAAGATGGTTTCTTTCATATGGCTTGTGGGGTTATGAAAATTGTTCTGACAAGCAACCTGCTGGGTGCAATCTGTCAGTCTTCAAGAGGAGACAGAGAAAGGTCTTAGAAATGAGCTGGTTTGTAGACAGTCTGAAGAAGCAGGGAGATGGAGATTGAAAAGCTCAGTATCAACAGATGCAGGGTCTAGCAACACTCCCAGCCCTTGAGCAGTGAGTGGGAAAAGCCTAGGACGGTGAAGGCAATGTGGAAGTTTACACCCCTTCCTAATCAGAGTGTCCTACTGAGGCCTGGCCTTGCACCCCATCAGCTCAGCCCTACAGAAGGGAAGGGAGGGCTGCTGTAGCACCCTTTGGCTTCTAGCCTGAGCCACTGCAGGCATGTGCCTGCATTTCTGGAATGAAAAAGGAATGTCTATCCACCTCCAAATCAATTAAAGCATTGCAGGTTAGACTAACCTGCAAAGATTGAATCAAATCAGGCACAGGGTTTTTGAATGTCTGTCCTTAGCCAAAGGGACTACAAACCATCCCATTGTAGAAGGCCAAGTTATGCTAATGCTAATCATCCTACCCCAGATGGGGTTAAGAAGAAGCTTAGGACACTTCTGTGGTGGGAGATTAGACTGTCTGTGTGCTAAGAGCAACTCTTATTTCAAGCAACTGTAGACTGGCCAGGATTGAGAAATGTGTTTTTTGTGTGTATCCTAAGACATATAGGAGACTACATCAAATCAGTTCCACTGAAAAACAGAGCTGGAAGATTAATTACTATTTTTTCTGTGATATTATGACATGGTCCAAGGGAAAACAAAAACACTTTGTCAAATTCTATGTCAGTCTCTGTGACATGAAAAGCTAAAATCTCCAGGTTTAAAATGATGTATTTTGAGAATTTGCCTCATTTTCATGTCCTCTGGAAGCTGCAAGGCTGGTAATTTGTGCCCTGATGTAGCAACTGGTGAAATATTGTAGGGACAGTGTTGATGAAGAAGGATAGGTGGGGTTTTGAATGGCTCTGTGAAGGTTTCCTTCTTGATAAGAGTACTAGTTACCATAAAGCACAGGCCAGCCCAACTGGTAGGAAAAGATATTTTCCTGTTTCTTTTTTCATGGTAATTTCCTAAGGTATAACCCCATATAGAATGACAGATCTGATATAATCTTGTCTGCTTCCTGCAGCCTTGTCTGTTTGCAACAGTTATTTCTTCCTCTTTTTGTTTGCCTTCACTTCAGGCTTGAATGAATCAAGCCAGTAGTTTCATCCTAGTTTTTAATCCCAGGTGTTCACATCATAAAATCTATCATCACTTACATGAATATTTGTCCCAGCCAAAAGAGTAAACTCCCTTGTCATTCCCTATTTAAGAATATTAAATAAGAAAAATAATTACATAGTTCTTACATACTTAATACTTACAAAGGACTATGAAGATACAAGGCAAACAAAATACAAGGCATTTCACAATGATAAGTGTTGATAAAGGTGTGGACATATTAGAAACACCCTGTTGGATATGGTGTACGTAGAATACTCCCATGTTGCTTCCCATGTTTTCCATAGTCTGAGGATAAACAGAAGGCTTCATTTTCCATGACAAGCCAAGCGTTTAAGTGTCAGGTGTACTAAATTTCAGTCAGAGAAAAAG